CATTATACCACAACATCCTCCAGACAACAGCTTCCTTCTTCTTCACTTTACAACGACTCAGTCAGAGAAATCCGATATATCCGAGAGCAAATTCAGTTCTATCAGAAGCTACTTCAAGAACTCTAGCTATCACAAAGAAGAACCACAGAAAATGATCAACTATGCTATACTTCACCAGTCAACACATCCGCAATAAACAGATTGGCTCAATGTCATATGCCAATTAGACATCATCAGTACCAGCAACAAGTATACCTCAGAAGACGTCAAAAATATCGAGAAGAATCTGAGAATGGCTACATAGACCTTGAAGTATACCAGCCTAGACGGTCAACCTACCACACTGAACCTTCCTACAGCAAACCAAGATCGTTACGTACAAGTACACCATGTTACCCAAGAAACACAGTCCTAACTGTTACAAATAACAGAGAAGATTCTGAAGATATATACCACCATCAATTGGGGCACTACAATTCAAATCATTTCATAACTGAAGAACAATTTCATCAATTTGCAAGTGACTTTATACAATCACTGATAAAAGATGGATATACATGGGGTGATGATAACTAACTACCAGATAAAGACATTTCCAGAAAATAAAGATTTACAGCATAACACAAACTGCTCTTCAAACTGTCAAGAAGACTGCTGCCTTACTTCCAGATGTCAAACTGAGCTACAGCTTTACAACAAAGTGAAAGAAGAAACTCTACCAAAGAAACATTTAAACTTCAAGGGACTGATTCTACAGGCTAAGAGTCAGTCCAAGCAGTAACTGAAAAACTACAAGAAACCGGCCAATCACAAACCAGATGACAAACCACAAATGATATTAGACACAATAAAGTCAGCAAACAGTAGAAGACTTCATTCCTGTTCAGGGCTACAACACAAATCCTTACCCAGACCTGATGCCAAAGAAAGCCAAACGACGACCCTTCAATGCCAATTACATACCATCTGAAGACGTCACCGACACAAACAGCAGACCAAAAGATGCAATCTTCGATTGGACAGTCTGCATGGCTACTGTTTACGATAACCTATCCGTAGTCATAAACGATAAAATACCAATAGGCGATGAAGAAGATGCCAATACCATTACCAGACCTAAAGATGATGCCAATACCACAGACCAGATGCTTGCGTGTATCCGAGAAGAGAGAAGAAAATCGGTAACTATTCAAATCGCGACTGCGTAAAACTGAGCAAACCCGAGTTTGTTCATATATTGACTAATAATACTCGAAACAAGTATAAAAACATTTAGGTTGATAGAAAAGATGCCACCTTTTATAAAGTTTCTCTTTTCAATTTATTTCAAATTGATAATTTGAATTAAAGTTACACTACCATACCGTACCATGTTGTTTTTTGTTATGTTGAGAAAAAGACTTTTGTATACATATAGAATATTGATATGTTGAGTTGAATTTTTGTTACAATAATTGAGATTTTATAATTATTTCTTAACTTTTTTGTTAAGTACAAATTTTTCTGTTTGAACTTATGTAAGGCTGCTTTAGATTGTGCTTAGTGATTTTTTGTGTTTTTAGATAGAAGTTAAATCTCTATTGGTTTGAGGTACCATGATATAGGATTTAAGTTTCTATGAGATTTTTGTATTTTTGGTAGATAGAAATTAGTTTTCTATGGATTGTGGTGCCATTATATAGATTCTAATTTTCTATAAGTTTTTATGCCATAATATAGAATTAAGTTGCTATGGGCTTTTTGATGTATGCCATTATATAGAATTTAAATTGCTATGGGCTTGTTGTTTTTAGAAGACCAAGTGTTTGTGTCTTAGTATTTTCTATAGGATTTAAGATCTATAGGCGTCTGGTGATATGTTTCACAGACATTCTTTGTTCACTTAAGTAATGATCCTAAAGTAAGCGTTAGCTAACCATAGATGTGCATAGCTCCATCGCAGCTAGGTCTAACACATATGCTTTTTGTGATTTTTTCACGTGGTGTGAAACTTTGATTTACTATTCAAAAGTTAATATGTATTTTTTACATGTCATTAGACTAACAAGATTTAAGTTGGATATCATATATTTTTGTTGTTATGAGAAAGACCTGTTTTACTTATGGTATAATTGTTAACCATTTTGATGCTACTTTATTAATGATACAGTATTGTTAATCATCAGTCATAGCCATATTTCTTATGAAATTTTATTTTAACATGGTTTGGGGTAACTGGGTTCTTTATTGAAATTTGGCATTATACCCAAAATTAAAAAGGGAAAAATTCCCCGTATTGATTTCCCATTAAAAAAGGGGAAAATTTTTTTCTAAAAAATGTTTTGTTTTAAAAAGTGGGTAAAAAAAATTCGAGTAAAGTGTTTTTATGGGAAAAAAGTGTAAAGGGGTTTTATAATAAATGATAAAGAAAATCTAAAGTTAGAATAAAATGTTGATATAAATGAAATGAAAAACGCGCAAAGTGAAACCCAAAATTAAAAAGATCGTGCATCTGGGGTAAAAATAAATTTAAAACGCGGGATCTGAGAAAAAAATTACCAAATTTGTGATCTTTAGAGGGCAAAAAAATGATATCCGCAACATGTTTAAAAAATGTGGGAAGACATTGGGTTTAAAAGTGAACATTTAAGGTGGTTGTGCCATCATGCACTTATATTAAACATAACTTGTTATCGCGCATAAGTATCAAATCCTACAATTGTGACAAAATCTAGTGCAAAGACCTTGGGCACAGTATAAACATTTCAGGTGGCTGTGTCAGCACACTAGTAACCCCGAACATGACAATAAGTAAACCCGAACAAGACGAAACTAGAAAACCCCGATGATGACAGGAGGAAGAATAATATTGTACAACTTTTATTATACTTTATAGATAATATTACACTTGTATTATAGTATTTCTTCTATTCCAGGACATGACATTTTAATTATTATATTCTCATTTTGTATTTACATGATGCATATATTTTATTGATAAGATATTAATTTTCTATTTCCATGTAATATGAGATAAAAAATATTTCACATTGACTGCATGCTTGTACATTTTTGTAAATATGTTCTTTATTCATTCTTTAAGTAGATTTGTTAGTTTATTGTTTTATACTTTATAGTTTCTTCCATATATCATGTTGACATGTATATATTTCTGTCATGATAATATGCTATTTCTTTGAAGTATCTTTAATACAGTTTAAGTTCAAGTTTTATCTTGGAAAAAATTTATTGCTTTTCGCAATAATTTTTTTCTTTTTCCAAAACCGGTGTATTGTTGTAAAGTTGGAACCCACTTACAACAGCTTACATAATCATTATATAATATTGCATAATATTACTTAAGAAGTATAACATGTATAATCTTAAGGAATATTTTTTTTCAAGAAATATTAAAGGCTTTTAACTTAGATTTAAGTTTATTTTAAAGTTTAATCATAATGAACATGTATTGTTTTATACACTCTTTAACAGTAACTTAGCATGGCCTAAGACTCTTTATATACAACATATAGAGAATGGTTCTACTTTTACTTATACTGGCCTTTAAACTTAGTGAGATACAAGTTACTGATTTAGCATTTATATATGTTTGTAAATATGTTTAGTTGATATTAGTTTCTAGTTTTATTGTTTAGAATATTTTTTGTAAAAGTTTATTACTTTAATATTTTCATAATCATGGTCAAATGATACTGTTGCAAAATTTTCCATGAATCATAATCTATTTTTTAGAATAGTTATGTAAAGAACTGATAAGCCTAGTGCATTTGTTAAGTAAATTCTGATTGGCTGTAATTTGACCAATCAGATAAATTGTTACATACAGTGCCACCTGTAGGTAGATGCTAGATCCCTCTGGGATGCAGAAGTCCATTTATACAAGCATCTCAAACAGTTTTGTCATTCTGCTGCTAATTTTTGGAAAAAGTAAGATCTCTAAAAGCTCTCTAAGGTTAATTAATTAATTATTTAATTATTTTAGGCACTTTGGCATTTAATGAACCTTAGAGATTATCTAAATTCACTAAAACATTTTTTGATAAATTTGTAAGTAATTTAAGTAATTATTTTTACAGAATTAATTAAGATCAATTAATATATTTTCTTTGTTTTAAGTGGCAGCCATCTTGAATTATTAGATCTTTATTTTTGTTGATATACATTTAAACAGGGCTTGCTACTATTAAGATTTATTAGTTTAACCAAACAAGAATCATTAAGTTTTTTTTTTTCTATTTTTAGTGATTAAAAGTTTAAACAAACTTTTAAAATGGTTTTTAAAACTTTTATCCCAAATAGTTTAATCCCGATTTTTCCATATTTTGGTTTAAAAAAAGAAATTTTTTTTTTAACACCCTTAAATAACTTTTTTTGCTTTAATTTTCCCCTTTAGTTTAAATGTAAATGAAAAATTAACCCTTAAAAAATTTTGGTTTTATTTAAATTTATTTTAACATTTTGGGGTTTTATTTCCCCTTTGGGATTCAAAAAGGGGGGTGTCATCCTGACGAAATTTAAAAATTTTTCCCCATTAAAGGGGGTCCTCCTGAGCAAACTAAAAAAACATTAGGGTTTAATTTAAATAAACTAAATTTTTAAAATATAGAAAACCCTAAGGGTTTTAATTTTTTAACCCAAAAAAAATTTGGGGGCCAAAATGGGATAGAGGCCTGCTTCTATTTTTAGAAACCACTTATTAACATAATTTTTTCATCACCACAACATATGTTTATACTTAATAAACTCTTGAATCTTAAACTCTTAATGCTAATATATTTCAGATACTGAAATGAATTATAACACTATTCTTTACTTAGATTGAAATGAAAGACAAGTTGATCTAAATGAAGCGATATATCAATAAACAATTGTGATAATGGTATTAATAATGGCGTTTTGCGTTTATACCTACATGTCAAGTAACCTTGAATCGATGAAGTGTGATCTATAAATAGATTCTTCATTTTCGGAAAATAACACGGATTTTAAACACACACGCACACAATCGTTGCTAACTATCTAATGTGTCAAGAAAACACATAGTAATTTTAAAAAGTAGAACAGTGATATACTTTACAGACACGGACGATAAAATGCCAGTTTGTTTAGGCTGAAATGGATTTAGAAAACAGTTATTCGTATCCATTTGTTAGTGACAGGATATCACCGGACAGCGATAGTTCAGAATACATCATTTCGTGGGAAGTTCTAGACTTCGATATATCGGTACATTATACGATGTTTTCTGCTCTCATGTATTAATAAAATAAGAGTCCGAGTCTTAATTTTAAAATCTGCTAAGGTAATTTGTGGCGACAAAAATGTTTAAATGATTGATTCTTCATACTAAGACACAATATTCTTTAAGATAAGACTTTCAAGTGTATCAAACTCAAATTGACCTTGACTCATTTATGACCTTGACCTTAAAGGTTAAATTATTGAATTTTCAATGATTTTTACTATAATTGACAGTAACTTGGCATTTACTATAACGGTTTATTAAAAATCGCCACAGTGTTGAGGATGATTGCTGGCGGCATCCATTTTCAAGTGTCAAATTGTATTTAATGAATCTCATTTACAGTTTCAAATCATTAGAACCAGTCTATATTGTTATGCGCATAATCCGCTTCAAAATACGGCTTTATTTGAACGAAAAATTAACATCGCGAGGGACGGACAAATCTGTAAAAGGAAAAATAGTAAACTTTCCTTTACATTTACGTTACATTTAACACTACGGACAGTGGCTCATTCGGTTTACAATCCTTTAAAGTGTATAAATTGATAATTGTTTTGTTATAAACAGTAATATTAAACATTTATAATAGCTGCAATATTGTGAAATTTGAAACTAGTTCTCTGCAAGGAGTGTTGTATTTAGCTGGTTATCTATTTAAAACAATGGAATCATTTACAGTACAGAGCCAGTTATATTTAGATATGATCATTCCTAATTCCAGACAAGGTAAGGATGTCACTTAATGTCGCCCGCCAGTATAGACTGCACACAGTCATGCTTGTTCTAAATATGGCAAGAGGTCGTGCAAACTTAAAGAACTATTTTTAGTCCTTCAGCGGCTCCAATGTTGTGACAAAATATAGGATTTTGTTAATGAAATTCCTTAATGCTTTATCGATATACAGGTTACTTGGTTCAAATGTTAAGTTATATTTTTTAAAGGTGAAAAAGAGATTTTCTTATTTTGTTTTTCTGCTGATAATAAGTTGAAAGAATTGTCAGTCAAAAGTAATTGTATCAATCTTGTATACCATTAATACTATAAAGATACATGTGTTGTGGTGATTAAAAAATATGTTTTAATAGTGTTTCTAAAAATAGGAGCAGGCCTCTATCCCACTTGGCACCATTGTTGTGGTGTTGAAAATGAAAAGCCTTAAGTTTTCTATAAATAGAATTTAGTTACTTATTACCTAATATTTACTTTTTAATGTTCTTAGTTTGCTCAGGAGTACTCTTTAATGGGGAAAAATCTAATCGTCAGGATGACACCACCCTTTGAATGCAAAGGGAAATATAACACAAATTTGAATAAATTTAAATCAACCAAAATTTTAATGAACTAAGTTTTTATTTACACTTAACTAAAAGTTACTTAAAACTAAACAAGTTATTAATGTGTACTAAAAATGAAACAGTTTTTATTTAACCAAAAATATGAAAATCAGAATAAACTAGTTGAATGAAAGATTTAAACCAGTTAAAAGTTGTTTAAACTGTAATTACTAAAAATATGAAAAATAACCTTAATGATTCTGTGCTGTTAAACTAATAAACCTAAATAGTAGCAAGCCCTGTTTTAATCTATAGCAACAAAAATAAAGCTCTAATGATTCAAGATGGCTTCCACTTAAAACAAAGAAAAGATATTCATTAATCTTAATTAATTCTGTAAAAATAATTACTTAAATTACTTACAAATTTATCAAAAATGTTTCTGTGAATTTAGATAATCTCTAGGTTCATTTAAATGCCAAAGTGCCTAAAATAAATTAAATAATTAATTAATTAACCTTAGAGAGCTTTTAGAGATGTTACTTTTCCAAAAATTAGCAGCAGAATGACAAAATTGTCTAAGATGCTTGTATAAATGTACTTCTGAATCCCAGAGGGAGCTAGCATCTACCTACAGGTGGCACTGTATGTAACAACTTATCTGATTGGTCAAATTACAGCCAACCAGAATTTACTTAACAAATGCTCTAGGCTTATCAGTATTTTACATAACTATTCTAAAAATAGATCATGATTCATGGAAAATTTTGCAGCAGCATTATTGACCATGATTATAAAAATAATAAAGTAATGAACTTTTACAAAAATATTCTAAGCAATAAAACTAGAAACTAATATCAACTAAACATATTTACAAACATATATAAATGCTAAATCAGTAACTTGTATCTCACTTAATTTAAATATCAGAGTAATTGAAAGTAGAACCATTCTCTATATATTGTATATAAAGAGTCTTAGGCCATTCTAAGTTAACTGTTAAAGAATGTATCAATAAGTTCTACAAACTATAATCAACATTAAACAAGTGCATGATAAGAATGAAATGTCTATAAACAATACATGTTCAATATGACTAAACTTTAAAATAAACTTAAAGCTAAATTAAAGTTTAAACCCTTAATATTTCTTGAAAAATATTCCTTAAGATTATACATGTTAAACTTCTTGAGTAATATTATGCAATATTATATAATAATTATATAACCTGTTGTAGTTGGAATCCAACTTTATAACAATACACCGGTTTTGGAAAAAGAAAAAATTTATTGCAAAAAGCAATAATTTTTTTCCAAGATAAAACTTGAACTTAAACTGTATCATTAAGATACCTCAAAGAAATAGCATATTATCTTATCAAAAATGTTCATGTCAATATAATATATGGATGAAACTATAAAGTATAAAACAATAAACTAACAAATCTACTTACAGAATGAATAAAGAACACATTTACAAAAATATACAAGCATGCAGTTAATGTTAATTATTATTAATCTCATATAACATGGAAATAGAAATATCTTATAATAAAATCTATGCATCATGTAAATACAAAATGAGAATATAATAATTAAAATGTCATGTCCTGGAATAGAAGAAATACTATAATACAAGTGTAATATTATCTATAAAGTATAATAAAAGTTGTACAATATTATTCTTCTTTCTGTCATCATCGGGGTTTTCTAGTTTCATCTTGTTCGGGTTTACTTATTGTCATGTTCGGGGTTACTAGTGTGCTGGCACAGCCACCTGAAATGTTCATACTGTGCCCAATGTCTTTGCACTAGATTTTGTCACAATTGTAGGATATGATATTTAAGCGCGATAACTGTTATGTTTAAAATAAGTGCATGATGGCACAACCACCTTAAATGTTCATTGCACCCAATGTCTTTGCACTATGGTTATTTAAATGTTGCGCGATATCATTATTTTGTCTCTCGGATGCACGATTTGGTAATGTTTCTCAGATGCGCGATTTAATTATATTTACTCAGATGCACGATCTATTGATTTGTTTCACTTTGCTCGTTATTCATTTCACTTGTATCAACACTTTATTCTACACTTTAGATTTTCTTTATTACTATTCATAAAACACTTTATCACTATTCATATAACACTTTACTCGAATTTTCTTTATCACTTTTTATACGAAACACTTTCTAGAAAAGAATTTCACCTTTTAACAGAATCGATACTGAATTTTACTTCAAATTTGTATAATGCCTAAAGTTTCAATAAAGAATCAGTTACACCACCATGTTAAAATACAATCATAAGAAATATAGCTTTGACAGATAATTAACAATACTGTGTCATTAATAAAAGTAGCATCAAAATGGTTAACAATTATACCATAAGTAAAACAGGTCTATCTCATACAACAAAAATATATGATATCTAACTTAAATCTTGTTAGTTTAATGACTTGTAAAAATACATATTAACTTCTTAAATAAATCAAAGTTTCACACCACTGTGAAAAAATCACAAAAAGCATATGTGTTAGACCTAGCTGCGATGGAGCTATGCACATCTATGGTTAACAAACGCTTACTTTAGGATCATTACTTAAGTGAACAAAGAAATGTCTGTGAAACATATCACCAGACGCCTATAGATCTTAAATCCTATAGAAAATCTCTAAAACTCAAAAATTTGATGTCTCAAAACATCAAGCCCATAGAAACTTAAATTCTATGTAACGAGCACAAAAAACATTCACTAAGACACCTAAAGCAGCCTTACAAAACTCAAACAAGAAAAACTTGTACTTAACAAAAAAGTCAACAAATAATCACACAATATCAATTATTGTAACAAAAATCTAACTCAACATATCAATATCTTATATGTATACAAAAGTCTTTTTCTCAACATAACAAAAAACAACATGGTATGGTATGACAGTGTAACTTTAACTTAAATTACTTCTTATCAATTTGAAATGAATTGAAAAAGGAAACTTAATAAAAGGTGGCATCTTTTCTATTACCCTAAATGTTTTTATACTTGTTTTGAATAATGTTTGTCAGTCTATGAACAAACTCGGGTTTGCTCAGTTTTACACAATCGCGATTTGAATAGTTACCGATCTTCTTCTCTCTTCTCGGATACACGCAAGCATCTGGTCTGTGGTATTGGTCATATGATTGGTATGTGGCATCTTCTTGTGGTTTATTGTCTTCGCCGGGTATTGGTTTGTCATCTTTTTGTTGTTTGGTATTGGTATTGGCATCATCATTATCGCCTGTTGATATTTTATTGTATTTGACTACTAATAAGTTATCGTAAATAGTAGCCATGCAGACTGTCCAATCGAAGATTGCATCTTTTGGTCTGCTGTTTGTGTCGGTGATGTCTTCAGTTCGTATTTCATCAGCATTAAAGGGTTGTCATTTAGCTGTCTTTGGCATCAGATCTGGGTAAGGCGTTAGATTGTAGCCCTGAGCAGGAATGGAATCTTCTACTGTTACTGACTTTGTTGTATCTGATGCCTTTTGTGGTCCGTCATCTGGTTTGTCTTCGGCCATTTTGTTGTAGTTTTTATTTACTGGGTGGACTGACTCTTGGCCTGCAGAATCAGTCCCATGAAGTTTAAATGTTTCTTTGGTAGAGTTTCTTCTTTGACTTTGTTGTAAAGCTGTAGCTCAGTTTGACATCTGGAAGTAAGGCA